GGGACAAACTGCAACCAAGGTACATGCCCTTAGTGGGAACTGAACCCAGGACTCGCTGGTCCGCAGGCCGACACTCTAACCGCCGAGCCAAACTGGCCAGGGCACCAGCCACATTTCAAGTGTTCCACATCACAGCAAAATACAGAACATTTCCATCACCACAAAAGTTCTATTTGAGTATCACTGGTTTAGAATACTCTTAGCCCACACCTCTTTACGTTGCTGGTTCTTTCTCACCTTCAGGCTTGTTTTCTTTTTTCTTTTTTTAATTCCTGATCTGAGGACATTTTTCTATTTATCATCAGATGGAGTCGAAGGGAGGGAGAGAAACATCAATGTGATAGAGCCATGCTGACTGATTGCCTCCCACACAACCCGACCAGGGCCTGGGACGAACTACAACTGAGGTATGTGCCCTTGACCGGAATCGAACCCGTGACTCAGTGGTCCACAGGCTGATGCTCTAACTGCTGAGCCAAACTGGCCAGGGACAGGCTTTGTTTCATATATCATTTGCTCACAGCAGCTTTCTCTGACGACCCCAAGTAATACAGTAGCCGCCACTGCTTTCACGTCCTGGTTGATTTCCTTCACAGCACATACGGTAATAAGAGCCTATGAAGTTCACTGATGTGCTTGTTAGCTGTGTTGTTACACTGTAAGCTCTATGAGAGCAGGAATCTTCTGTCTCATTCATACTTCCATCCTCCCCTCTAAACAATGTCTGGCACATAGAAGGCACTTCATAGATATTTGCTGACTGAATCATTATTTCCCAATCACCTAGCACAAAACGATGAACTGCTAAAAGTTAAACAGAGCCCAAACCAGCCAATCCGTTGATTTGCAGACAAAAAAAGCTATGTTTAGACAGTCAAGGACCTTATCCATAGTCCTACCCATGCTAGTGGTTTCCACTATGTTACTGCTTCTCAAACTCTATTGTATACACAAGTCATCTAGGAATTTTGTTAAAGTGCAGATTCTGATTCAGTCTGGGCTGGAGCCTGAGACTTTGTATTTTTAATAAACCCTCCAGTGCTGCTGGTGGTGGTGGTGGTGGTAGACAGACCACAGTTCAAGCAGCAAAGCACAAGCCAGGAATTTATCCCCACAACTAGAAATATTTTGCACTTTATTATGCTTTTAGCCTGTACCGACTCTTGGCAAAAATGGACTTCATAATATTGCTATCCTTTGAGTAAAGGTCTTCAAGTACAGTTGACTCTTGTTATTCATGGTAGGTCTGGTATATAAAGTAGCCATGAACACGGCATTATCAAATAGTTATTTTGTTCCCAGGAGAAATATGGGGTTAGATTCCTATGAGCCTCTGGTTACAGCATTTTTATCAACAGGTCAATATACAACTTTATTTTATGTGTGTTTCTGTTTTAAGTCATCTTAAGTAGTAAATATTGTTGGCTCATTATCAATGAACTTACGGCCAACAGCACTAGGACTCCTGCCTGAATGAAGCTCACCTAACAGAACTATTTCCGCCATACACATCACAGTCTCCTTTCGCTTAGAAAAACTAGACAGCACTTCAGCACTATGCTTGAAGGCCATTTTAAACAGTGAAATCACGAACAAAGAACACAAGGATGTGAAAAGTGTGACAGTAAATATACTATGAAGACAACACTGCTTATAGTATGAGAGTTTAAAGAAGGCAGAACATCTTGTTCAACCTCAACTGGGAACTGTGTACTAGGCAACTCAGATTTTTCACCCCTCTGTGCATATCTGCAAATGACCACAAAAGTGCTGCGAGTACTGATTTTGGAGTTAGTAAATTTTAGCGAGTAAGCACATTCTCAATATGGAATCTGCAAATGAGGACTGATGGTACCCCCTTGCAGTATCCAGGACTACCCATAGATCACTTTGCAGGATTCAAAGCCCAACTCCCATGTTTTCCTTCCTCACACCCTCCTTTGATCAACAGGGCTGTGCAAATGAAAAAAAGGTGCCCCTTCCTTTGGAAGGATGAGGAATGCACAGAGAGGCATGGGCTGGACCTCAGCTCTGGTGCACCCCCATCCAGGTGCCATCGCACAGGGCACAACTTGCTCCAAACACATGACTAGCCCTACTTATCACATACTGCTTGACGCTTTATTTGCTCTTTAGCTGAAATGTTTCGGTCTTTTAAATCTTCTTCATATGGAGGAGTTGGGTCAGAAACGGAGAGCAAGATACGGGGATCAGGGTTAAAATATGAGGGAGTGGTAGCCTGAGAAAAATGACACAGGGGCAAGGTCCAGCCTGGCCATCTGACCAGCATGGTGGCTCTGACCTGAAGCTGATAGGCTAAGTCAGCCTGTGCCCGGCGGGTGTTGACCTCAATGTCATATGTGGCCTTCTTCAGCTCATAGTCCCTCTGCGCCTTGGCCATCTCGATCTCACTCAGGTACTGAGCAGACACTTTCTCCTGCTTGGCTTTGGCCTCCTGTCCATACAGAGATCAGGTAGGGAGTCAGAGCAGGGAGGGGAAGGCCCCCGGGGGGAGCCAACTTCCCACTTGGCTCCCCTTACTTTGCCCCAGCCCTGGCCTTATCTATTTCCTTTGCCAACCCAGTTCTACCAGCCCCCAGTCAGTTGTGCCCCTCCCTCCAAGTGCCCGATAAGCCCACGGTGACCAGGTGACCCTCCCATCCCTCTCACCCGGATCCCAGCATCTCTCTTGGCCTCAGCTTCTCCAATCCGAGCATCTTTTTGGACTTGAGCGGTTCGAGCCTTTCCCAAGGAGTGCAAGTAGTCCTGTGGGAGAGATGCAGAAATTGGAGCCCTTAACAGGGTTTCAGAGAAAGGAGCAGGAAAAGAGAGGATCACCCTTCCAGGTTTACCTGATCATCGTGAATGTCCTTCAGGGTATAGCTGACCACGCTGATGCCCATGTTCACCAGGTCTGAGGAGGCCACTTTGAAAACCTGCTCTGAGAATTTCTGCCTGTCCTTATAGATTTCCTAAGATAACAGGATAGCAGGAAGGAGGAACTTAAGCTCTCAAGGTCCTCTGGCCACTGTCTCCCACAGAACAGCTCAGTTCTTAGCCCCCCTCAGAAATCCCTTCTAGACGTTTCCCTGCTGTCAGGCCCACCTCCACAGTCATGTGGGCCATGATAGCCCTCTGGTGGCCCTCCAGCGTCTCCAGTGCAATTTGGGCAATCTCAGCCTCTGTTTTCCCCAGGAACATCTGGCAGGCAGCCGCTAACATCTCTTTGTTCTGCCCCTGAATTTTCACCTGTGGCAGAGGAAGGGTGGGAGGGGTGAGGTGGAGATCTCGGGAAGCCAGGGACGCAGCAGGGAGAGAAGGAAGGAGCAGTCCAGTGCCTTGGAGAAGGAGAAGCTACATAGAGAATGTCTCTGCCGGCAGCGGCGGGAAGGCCATGGTCACAAGATCCTTAAGTCTGGGGACTGAGAAAGTGATGGGAGAGTGGACTCGGGGGAAAGGCTCTGAAAGCCTCACCTGGGCAATGCCAGTGACTGAGATGGGGACCCCATGGCGAGTGTAAACCTTTTCACTCTTGACATTGAGGGTCAATGTGTTGAGTGAGATCCTAGAGAGAAAGAGAAGGGTGAATAGTGAAAAAAGGAGAAAAGAGAGAAAACTAGGGTCCCCTTCCCTGGCGCTCTTCCTACCCACCTCTGGATCTGCTGGATGCAGGGCAGGACGAAAACTCGGCCCCCAGCTACCATGACTGGCGGGCTCCGGCAGAAACCTGAAAGGCGAGGGGCCAGTGAGCTCTGGCTGCGGTAGAACTAGAATATGGAAGACCACAGAACTAGGGGAGGGAGGGGGTGGGCAACCCTCACGAGGAAACCTGGGAGCAGGACGGCGGGCTGCCTGAGCCTGGCAAGGGTAGCTGCTGGGAATCACAAGCTTGCAGCCCTGGGTGGGTGGGGTGGAGGTGGGGGGGAGCCTTGGCGCTGTGAAGTTGGTAGGGATGGAGGGAAGGGGCAGGGGACGGGCTCGCAGGGGTTTGGGGGTCACTGGCTGAGGAGAGTACAATACTCACCGGAGACCACCATGGCCTCATTTGGGCCACAGGTGAAGAACATGGCTCAAGTGGGAGCTGGAGGAGAGGAGAGCAAGCCCCTGCGGGGATGCAGGGGCGCTGTGGAGTGCACAGGAGTGACTGTGTTCCGTTCCCGTCAGTCCCGCCCAGCCTGCAGCCACCACCGCCCAGTCCCTTCCGCACTCCGGGGTCCGCTATAATGCCTTTCCCTCTGAAATCCGCAGTCCTTCAGCGACTCCCCTCGCCTGCTCACGGCCACTGCCTGCGTCCCGGCCTGCAGGGAGGACGGTCTCCCCGGATGTGATGAAACTCCTGCGCCCAGAGAGCCCCAGACCTCGCACCATCCTCCCCGCTCCTCCGCAGCCCGACTTCACCGCCCCTCCCCCACCTACCTTCGGGGACGCGCGGCGGCGGGGACCCTGGGAGAGGAGCCGCGGCCTCTCGCGCACCACCTCGGAAGCCCAACCCGCCGCCTCGCGAGCGCCCCACCCCTGGCCGCACCCCGGGGCTGCGGCAACGCGACCCCGCCCCCCGCGGCGGCCCAACCTCGGCCCGCCCCTCGTTCCCGGCAGGCCCCGCTCGAGCCCAGCTGGCCCGCGCGGCCTCTCTCCCTGGCTCCCACCTCCCGGCCGCTTCGCCCTGGGCGCGTGACGTGACCTCCGTGGGCCGGGGACATTGCCTCATCACGCTTATGCCCTATGGCTACTGGGGAAACCGCAGACTGGACAACGAACGTCTGCGTCCGGTCATCGGATGCCGGGTCCCATGGTCTGGGAAGAGGGGCTGGGGCCCGGGAGGAGCGCCCGCTTGGGGCCGTGGCCTCTGTCCCTAGTGCCCGAAGCTGGAAATCGCCGCCGGCAAAGATACACTCAAATGACTGCCGACAGTAAATCGAGTTTATTTGTGTTCACAGAACATACCGGGCGACCCCACAGCCGCCCCTGACAGCCCCCACCCCTTACCCCTTACCCCGTAGCCACCCCTTGGGGGCAACTTCAAGGAGATGGAACGAAGGCCAAGGACCTTGGAGCCAGTGTCCGCCGAGGCCTCACAGAGTAGACCTAGGGGGTTGAGATGCTGGAGGACGGAGAGTGTCACCCCCTAAACCTACGACCCACCCCTGTCCTTGCCCCTCGCAGGGCGTTCTCCGGATCCGTCCTCTCCATTCCCTCCCACCTCCCTCGGTTCCAGGCGTGTCGCCAGTTCCACCAAGTTCAGTAAAGAGACCACAAGTGCAGTTGCGGACATGCCTCGCACCCTCGCATAAATTAAATAAATATTACATACACCCCTCTATCACCTAAGGGACATGCATAAATACATATAAATATTAATTAGGAGCAATGAGACATAAATTAACGCCGCCGCTTTCCCCGCCCGGCGTGCCCGCGCGTGTGCCATCCGGGAGGGCTGGAGGCTCTCCTGTAGTGTTGAGTGCGAGGTGCCGGGAGTCCCAGTTTGGGATACGCTCTCGCACACCAGATACACCTGGTGTTTCTTTGCTTTTTCATACTCTGTTTCGGGTGTGAGGAGTCACGGTCAGAAGGCGGCCGGGTGTCGCTGGAGAAAAGTGCTGAGGTCCAGAGTGTAGTCTGAGGGCTCCGCGGTCAGATTAAGGGCCTCGAGGGCTGGGGGCGCAGGGGTGATCGCTGGGGGCTCGGCGCTGGGGGCGTCCTCTGGGGTCAGGGGCGCCGGCACACCGTCTTCAGCCATCAGGATCTGGCAGAAGACGATGGCGAGCAGGAGAAAGAGAAGCCTTTTGGCAGGGTTCGGGTCCTCGGCAGGCGGCTGGCGTCGGACCTGGGCGGAGACAGCAAAGGGAACAGGTCAGCTCGCGGCCCCGACGTCCGACCATTCCCTCCGCCCCTACCCCGGGCCTCCCGCTTCGGCGACACTCACCACTCGTGGATAGAGGACCCTACGGCTGCGCTTTCGGTGCCCGCGGTAGGTGCTGGGGCGCGCGGCGGGGCCCATCGCCGACTCTGGGAGAGGTTCGAACGTGAAGATCTCTGGACCGGAGCCCCGCCGGGGTCCAGGGCTGGTGGATGGTACCGGGGTCGGGGCCCGCAGGACGGTCATGGTGGGCAGAGAGCTGCGGGAGCGACACATGGTAGCTGAGCCGAGAGGAATGACGAGTGCTGTCCCGCAGCCGTCCAGAGCTAGTTCTGTACAGCTCAGAATTGGGCGGGCCTTCTCAACTCCACCCCGGAGCGCAGGGCAGCCGGCCGGAAATTCCAAGATTAAGCAAAGGAGGGGGGGTGGAGACTTGGCCTGTGCAGTCACGCTGCCCAAGTGTGAGTGTGTGAGTTGTGAGTGGGGGTCGGCGAGCTCTCGTGCTGCAGGCACATGTCGGGACATGCGGCAGCTGGGGAAGCCACAGGCCCATCTCTGGGAAGGCAGCAGGACTTCCATGTGCAAGGCTGGCCATCCGGCTACAGTACTGACCCGGCAAAGTCAAGGACCCACAGTTATATTCACTTCTGGATACACACAGAAAACACTCCAAGAGGGAAGTCATCGTAGAAATAGCCAAGCAGAGAAGAAAAATGAACTCTTTAGCACACACAGACCTAACCCAGTTGGCCTGAGCACACTGGAAAACACACATACAAACATTCACACTTACACCATATTGTAGGGGTGGAAAATTTCCCCCCTTTTTTCTTCCAGGCTCTTTGGCTGGTCTAATGATTAAATTGACGTAAGACATTAACGTCAATGTTAACGAAAAACAAATTTAATTACGTGCTTACGGGAGCCCATGCAGACCTGAGACTCAAAGGGAGTCAGGAAACAGGCTTCTGTGCCATCCTGGTAAGTGGGAGCGGGGCAGGTGGGCTTCACAGGGAGCAGGCGGGGGCAGGGAGGTGAGGAGAGCAGGTGCTTGGCGGTCATGTTTGCCTTGAAGCAGGCAAGTCTTTCAGACAGAAAGGCCCTCTCTGGCACTAGCCCTCTTCCTGGCACAGGCCCCTGATCCATTCCTCCAGGCAGTTAAGGGAGAGCTCCAGAGCATTTCCTGAGTCTGCTGGGTCCTGATGGCCTTCAGCTCAGTGACCACAGGCCAGTGTGGCCCGTTCTGGGGCGGTGTGCTTTGCCTCTTCAATATGCGTATCACACAGCACACATGTCTCCCAGAGCAAAGACGCAGACTACCTGGGACAACCCAGCACTTCCCCACTTGGATGTTCACACAAAGCTGGGGCAGAGGATCACCAAATACAAAGGTGGGTGGTCAATAGTTGTCCAGGTTTGCTCCTTGTTGTGTGGATCAAATAACAAAACTCATGTGAAGAACATTTTAAACTGTGAGGCATTATGCAAATGTGGTAAAATGGTAATAACTAAAGACAGAATGGACATGTTTTCTTTTAAAAAAAATATATGTTTTTATTGATTTTTTAGAGAGAGGAAGGGGGAGAGAGAGAGAGAGAGAAACACTGATGTGAGAGAGAAACATCTATCAGCTGCCTCCTGCATGCCCCCTACTGGGGATCAAGCCCACAACCCGGGCTTGTGTCCTGACTGGGAATTCAACCCAGACCTCTCAGTCCATGGGACAACTCTCAGTCCACTGAGCCACACTGTCAGGGCAAGAATGGACACATTTTCATTACTGCCTTGGAGACAGCTGCTCATGGACACAATTTAACATCTTTTGGGCATTCATGGGTGCCAAGCACCCTGTGGAAGTTACTGCTGAGAGTACCGAGGCTGTTCAGCGTAGGTGCTGCTGAGTGAGGTGAGCCAGACAGAGTAGATACCTCAGCTGTGGGTCTGCTCAGAACTCCTTGAGGGTCCTAAGAAAATGGAAGATGGTGGAAGGGGGACCAAAAAAGCTAGTGTACTAATCAATCAGATGAGGCTTCCTGGAAGAGTGCATGTGAGATGACCTTAAACAGTGGGTGGGACACCACAAAGGCAGATGTGGAAGATGACTGTGAGGAAGAGAATGGAATCAGTTTTGAGCTGGAAAAGTACAGGATGTGTTTGGGGAACCACAAAGAAAACAATCCCAGAGTAAGTTCCCCACAAAGGAGTAGTGGGAAGTCACAAGGGCTGGGAAGGAGTTGGGAAGAGTGGGGACAGCTTAGCGGCCAGGCCAGGAATCTGGGTGTGACCACACTGTGCAGCTTGTGGGACAAGGGCTGATAGAACAGGAGGACAATTCGAGCCAGGGACTGAGCGGTGTGAGGAGCATGCCCCGGCTGACGAGACACTGAGGCAGGGCAGGAGGCTGTTGAAGAGGTGTAGATAGAAGGTCATTAACAGGGGCTTGAAAGGTCGTGGCACAGGGACTAAGAGGAGGGGTGGCTCTAAAAGACATTCTTTTTAGGAAAAAAAAATGTTTTTATTGATTTTTTTAGAGAGAGAGGAAGGGAGAGAGAGCTAGAAACATCGATGTGAGAGAGAAACATCGATTGGCTGCCTCCTCCATGCCCCCTACTGGGGATCAAGCCTGCAACCCGGGCATGTGCCCTGACCAGGAATCAAACTGGGACCTCTCAGTCCATGGGACAATGCCCAATCCACTGAGACACACCGGCTGGGCTCTAAGAGACATTCTTCACATGGAATCACCATAATTTAACAATAAGATGTCTCATTAGTGTCAGGGAGCATGAAGAGTGGGAGGCTGACAGCAGAGAATGAGCAAGGCTGACTCCAGATTTGAAATGCATGGGGCTCACTTCACAGCAGGTCATGTGATGCCTGGTGCACATGGTGAGCACATGTCTGACCTCTCCCATTAGAGACGGTGGCACACATGTCTTTATGTCTGCCATGGCACCCAGCACCCTAGTGCCCTGCATGCAGTAGTTGCTAAGTAATCTTGATAAATGAAAGACGAAAGTGCAGAACTGTAAACACATACTAGCTGGGGCACCCAAGCTTTTGATATGTTCCTTCAAGCTCCACATACAAAATGGACAGTGTCTTAAGAAAAGCTGGGACAATTCTTATAGAAACACCAAAGTAGGAACATCTAAGGGCATTTCTCAACCAAGATTGCGTGAGGGTACAGTAAGGGGATAGCCCCACAATTGGGCTAGAAATGGATACATTATTACTGTGTATACAATTGCTTCCTGGGGCTACAGGTGGCATTACTTTATACCTACGACTCCTGTCTAAACACATGGGACCCCTTCAGCATTACACACTTCTTCCTGACAGGCATAACACACCCTCCTCTACAAAGACATATCCTTTCCTTATACCTGCCTTTCACACCTGCCATCATCCTTACATCTATACCCAAGCACAGTGAGCCTGCACACCTACCTACACCCTTATTCCAAGGCAACCTGCCCACTATGCAAAGCCCAACATAAACAATGACTACTGACATGTATGCACCAGCCCACGTGCTCACAGACATAAATTGGGGGTGGCGGAGATGGGGTAGTGTCCCAGATCAGGAGTGCACACTTGTTTATGATGGAAAGTTTCTCCAGGCCGCTAGGCAGGGGATGGGAATGAAGGGAGGATGTCAGGCTCTTTCCTGGCCACTACCTCACATCTGGAACCAGGACCTCCAGCTGGGTCTAGTTATTCTCACTGTCCTGGAACAGACAGACCTTTCTTTGTGGCAAAACAAAGAGAAGAAGCAGAGAACCCAAGAGTTTACCATTCCTCCTTCTTCTTTTTTTGTTGTTGTTGTTAATCCTTACCTGAGGATGTTTTTCCATTGATTTTTAGATAGAGTGGAAGGGAGGGAGGGGAGAGAGAAAGAGAAACATTGATGTGAGAGAGACACATCAGTTGGTTGCCTCTTGTAGTGCCCCTCCCCCTCCCCCAGGGCTGGGCCAGGATCCAACCTGCAACCCATGTATGTTCCCTTGTTCCCTTAACCAGGAATCTAACCTGTGACTCTTCGGTCTTCAGGCCGAAGCTCTAACCACTGAGTCAAACCGGCCAGGATTCGCCATTCCCTCTTAGTCTCATCCCCATTCCTGCTGCCCTCAGAGACCCGGGATCTGCCCCTCCCCCTCCACACAGGAAGATAGAGAAAGGTGGAGAGTGAATCATTAAGGCAATGAGAGGGTTTTGAGGTGAGGGCTGAGGACGGAGTTAAGGCCAGAAAGGGCCAGTTCTCATTGCCCTAATTGTAGGAGAGCAGGCCCGTGGCCTCTCCATTTTGAGCTGTCCTCAATTCCCCAACTCCCCAGGATCACCATGTTCCTTCATTCCCCTGCGCTGACGTTGCCTCGACCTCCCACTCACCTCTTTCTTAGCCCCTTGCTTGTTCTCTTCATCACACTCCCTGCCCTGGCCAGTTTGGCTCAGTGGTTGGTGCGTCGTCCTGCGGACCAGAGAGTCCTGGGTTCGGTTTCCGCTAGGGGTATATACAAAAATAAATAAAGAACACTCCTTGCCTTGGGGAGTCCTTTATGCACTGTATTCGTGCACTTTTGGCTGTTGTGTGTCTCCACTGGAGCATCATCGCCATGAGCCCTTTCCTCACGCCATCCCTGTGGGATCTCCAGACCAGGCCTTTCAGGGGCTTTAATAAATATTCCTCAATCCCTCTCCTCTGGGAGCTACACCTTATCCCCAGAGGCGTCTGTGTATGCAGTTGTGTCCCTTCCAAGCCCTCACACTCCCTCTTCAAAGGTGAGGTTGCGAGGTGCTCACCTGAGGCCCAAGGCGATGTGCCCACTGTGCAGGCAACAGAGGCACAGCCTGGCCCTCACCCCTTCTGAGTTCCTGACCTGCAACCCACCTGGAGTGCCTCCGAGCTGCCAGCTCAGGCTGGACAGGGGCACAAAGGTACTGGGAAGGAGGCAGCCTAGGGGTGAGGGTGGGAGACTGGTCGTTGGGAGTGAGACCTTCTGAGAGAGGGAAGCAGGGACAGAGGGAGGGAGCAGAGTCCTGGGGTCATGGAACGAAGTGACAACCCTTCCCTGCACCTGGCCGCTGGGGCTCAGGGACTCCTCCGGACTGGAAGGTCTGAGAGGGAAAGGAGACAAGATGTGGGGTGGCAGGAAGAGCGTGTCATCATCTCTTGGTGTTAGAGGAAACTGGGTTTGAATTCTGCTCTGCTGCTTATTAACTCGTGACACAAGCCAGCTGCTTAGCTTCTCTGAGAGTGTTTCCTCCATGGAGAAGTGGGCACACTGGCCTTCAGGGTGTTGCAGGGACTGAGTATGAACACACTGCTTCTCAGCACAGAGGGTGCTGCTTCTGTGGTG